CTCGCTGTTGAATTCTAGAACTTTTAATTTAATTTTTGATGCTGTTTACCTTTTGTCTTTCTTTTTAAGCGAATTGACAGAAGTTCTTAAAGTGTATCAGGGCAGTGTATCAGTCAGGATTTTGTTGGCTGTGTGTGATAGAAAACTCAAACTAACCCAGAATTGAAGAGTCCTGGCTGGTAGGGCAGCCCCATTATTATCAGAGACCTCAATTTTTTTCCAAATTACAAATTTACCTTTCTCACTTTGTGGCTCTTCCGCATGGTCCCAAGATGGCTGCTTAAGCTCTATTCATCCTGTCAGCATTCCAATCAGCTAGAAGAAAGAAGGGCCAAAGAAAAGAACACATCCTCCCTTTAAGGTTACTTTCAGAAAGCTGCAAACTACATTCTTAGTCATATAGTAATCCCCAGCTACTTGGAAATGTAGGCTCTTCTGTTAAAAGCAGAAGTCTATTCTCTAGTGTTGAAAAACTGATATTAGAAGACTTTTAGCATTTTCTACCATAATGAAAAACAGGGAAAGATCAAGGATGATTCCACTGAGCAGACTGGGCTCTCTGTGTCACTCACCAAGAAAAGGAAGAAGAAATAGAGCTACTATTAATTTAGCACTTCCTGCATGTCAGGCCTTGTACTGAGTGCTTGCTTTATCCCCATCTTAAAGGTGAGGAAAACTGAGTCTTGGTGAAGTGAAATATCTTGACCTGCTAAATATCTTTCTGCCCCAATATCTGCTACTTGGAGCAGAAAGAGGATTAGAGCAGCGGTTCGCTGGTTTATAAAGCTCCTGGTGCTTAACTGCTGCCCTGGTCTACCACCCAAATGCGTTCCAAGCCACCTGTGGACCAGCATTGATGAAATGGGACCTGATTGGATTAGACCAGGGGTCCTCAAACTACGGCCCGCGGGCCACATGCAAATACAAATATTGTATTTGTTCCCATTTTGTTTTTTTACTTCAAAATAAGATATGTGCAGTGTGCATAGGAATTTGTTCATAGTTTTTTTTAAAACTATAGTCTGGCCCTCCAACGGTCTGAGGGACAGTGAACTGGCCCCCTGTTTAAAAAGTTTGAGGACCCCTGGATTAGCCTGTTTGTTGTTGGTGATCACTCTAGTAAAAGTTCCACTGGAGCTAATGGTTTTGGAATGAACCAATTGCCTTGCTTGTACACAGAAGTCTCTGAGAGAAAAAGGATCCATTTCTGCTTGTCACCAAGTCAAAGTCACCTAGGGGTCAGCAGAGCTTTCCCACCCTCGTGTCTCCAGTGATCTTCAGCAGCCCAGGGGGGCCATCATACTTTTCCCTACAATACAGCAGAGGAATTGGAGGCCTGGCTGCTTACTCAGGCTCCACACAGCCCACCAAGAGGCAGAGCCTGGGTGAGAGAGGGAGAGCGCTCTCCTTCCATCACCTGCTTCACTATGGACACGATATAAAGAACCCTCTTACAGGCTCCCACCTTTCTTCTCAAAATGTCCTGTCCAAAGTGCCTCCTCTAGCTTCCATTTCTCTCCTCAGAGCACATCCTCTTGCCAACCAGCACCACCACCGAAGGTTTGGCCTTGACCCCAGAAGAGCACCTCAGAACCCAGTGGGGTCCAGACAGCCCGAGGGGAGTGTGGCCTCTTGGTGGCATGAGGTGAAATGAGGCTCAGTGTCTCCAAATACCTCCCACACCATGCCAGAATGCCATAACGTTGGTTACCTCACTGAGTAGGGTCTGTTCAGGGATTGGGTGAGAGGAAGAGAGACTAAAAATGACTTAATCGGCCTGTGACCCGGGCAGGCCCTGAGTTCAGGATTCCTAATTTGGTTTAATGTTCTGCTGTCTCTGTCTTAAAATTCTTAATAGTATTTTAATTTTTAATTTGCACTGGGCCCTGCATATTACTCAGCTGGTCCTGATGTGGCCACTCTTACTGTCCTCTTGGCTGCCTGCCCTGTGGGGCCTGCTTTTTCAGGCTCGGTGCTGGGGTCACATGTTCCCTCAAGCTTCCTCCTCCTCCCCTGACACCCCCTCAGCATTCCTCAGGAGGGTTAGCCCCAAATGCCCTGTGATGCAGCGTGGGTGCTGCAATTGCCTTTCCAGGAATCTTCCTTCAGAATCCCGTGGTTTAGGACAAAAGTGGATTTGCCTGGTCCTGAAACAGATCACTGAGCTAAAAGGAAACTTTCACTCGTAAATATCTGTTGGGTGAATAAATTCTGAACTGAGATATCTCAGATCATCCTGCTTCTCATTCACTATTTATTCAATTAACAGATATTTATTGATCTTTTACTTTTATGTTTATGCAAAATAACATGTCCAAGCTATAAAGGAGAAAACGTGATAAAGATCAAGCTTATGCCCTGTCCAGTTTTGCTCAGTTGTTAGAGCATCAGCTCATGGACTGAAAGGTCATGGGTTCAATTCCCTGTCAAGGGCACATGCCTTGGTTGCAGGTTTGATCCCTGCCCTGGTCAGGGTGTATGCGGGAGGCAACTAATTAATGTGTCTCTCTCACATCGATGTCTCTCTCTTTCTCTCTCTCTCTTGCCTGCCCGCCCTCCCTCTCTCCCTCCCTCCTTTTCTCCCTCTCTCACTAAAAAGTCAATGGAAAAAATATCCGCAGGTGAGGATTAAAAAAAAAAAAGAGTTGAGCTTATGGTGATAGGTGAGGAAGATAAACTTATGCTGTATTAATTTTTTCCAACATTTTATTATGAAAATTATCAATGAAATAGAAAAGTTGGAAGCATTATACAGTGAACACCTATATACCCACTGCCAAGGTTATAAATTAACATTTTGCTCTTTTTGCTTGATATATCTGTTTGTTCATCCATCCAACTTATTCTTTGATTAATTTCAAAGTGGCAGACATTAGTAGATTTCACCCCAAACCAAACACTTAATATACAACATTAATTTTTAGTTCAGTGATCTCAATTCAATTATAACACCTTTTCTCTTTTAAGAAAAAAAGGAAAAAAAATATATTTTTATTTGGAAACAAATCATTTTCTGTTAAATATAATTATGGAATGATAGTTTATGCACGATGCAAAAAAACAACAACAATAACAACAAAACAACAAACCAAAAACACACTGATTCCCCTCTGTGTGCAATGAGTCAAAGAGACAAATGAGAAAGAGAGAAATTTCCTCAAGGCAAAGGAAAAGAGAGAAATGAGTAACTTCGGTAGGAGGGAATGCTGCCTTGGGAATGCAAAGTTATGGCAGTGTTTTAGGAAGCTTCCTGCTTCCTTCCAATCAAAACAATAAAACCCCTGAGATGACACTGCCTTAACATTCTTTCCTCCTTCCTGAGGTGACTGTGGACAATTCCAAGGGGTTTTGACATGGTCAGAGCTGAAGTTGAAGCTCCAATATATTGATTGAGTATTGTATGTAGGAGTGGAGAAAGATACAGGCTGAAGCCGGGATTTGGGAGTTGTCCACAAAGAGGTGATGGCGGGGGTGAACGGGGCTGGGTGGATAAGGCTTCTGAGGCTGACAGCATAGAGTCGCAGGAGCAGAGGGCAGGACTGAGCCACAGGAGGAGAAGGTGATGCTGTTGAAGAGGTCAGAGGAGGCACACTCAGGAAAGAACATGGAAAAATACCTAAAGCAAGACTCTAAAAAGGAGACCTACCCCATCTTTCTACATTTGACCAATGAGAAAAAGTAGGCTGAGACATCACTCAGAAAATTAGCAGCAGAGCTGGGGCAAAATCAGTGCCACCCAAGTGGTACTTTTCCAACAAAGTAACTCAATGGGTTCCTTCCACCAGGACCAAATGCCTTGGGGTCATGATTTTAATCTTTAAAAAATATGAATTTGGCCTTATCCTCAGGAATTTATCTAGTTTTGCCTTAATGAAAAACTAGTGTTTTTTTCTAAATTATTGAGAAATGTATGATCTCTGTTAGTGTTTCTCAGTTTTCTTTAAACTCGTGTCACTTTTTAATGAATATAAAAATCTAGAAGTTTTAATACCTATTTCTACTTCCCACCCCAACTGAGGATCACCAATAACAACATACAACCTGTTCTCAGCATAAACTAGCAAAGCATGCATAGTTTTATGTGATAAAATATAAAAGTAAAATAGTAAGAAATGTGCTTTCTCAAATAATAACCCTCTCCCAATTTGAGAACCATTCATCCAAAGAGATGGGCTCAATTTATCCCATGCTGTGTGTACCCTTGCAACCTCCCCCATATCGGTTAGGGGCGCTTTTAGTTGCCAGTAAAAACTCCCATAATAGTTACTTAAGCAAGGAAGATATTTAATTATTTCCCATGATAACCAGTGTGGAGGAAGAAGATTCCAGGTTCTGTTCGACAACTCAGTGATAATAGGACTTTCTGGGCTGGCGTCTCAGTGGTTTTCTTAGCGTGTCCCTGGTGGCCCCAAGATGATCTCCATAGCCCCAAGCATCACTTCCTGTTAGGAAGAAGGCAGCAAGTGGGAAACAATGATTTTCCTTGTTTTGCTCATTTTCCAGAGAGGAAGCACTTTCCAGAACCCCACCTTTGTCAAGAGACTTCCCAGCTACTTCCTTGGTCACAGTTGTGTCTCATGCCAACCCCTGGACCACCCACTGGCAATGAGAACTTGAGCATGATATTCAGCTTGGACTAATCATAATGCAGCCCACCTTCCCAGAACACATGCAACATGGGACTCATACAAACTTCACCTTGTTTTTGCCCAACTCCCTCGCTAGAATGTAAGCACCTTGAGGGCAGAGATTTTTGTTTTGTTCACTGCTATATGCCAGGACCAATGCCAGGTATTCAATAAATAGTCATTAAAGGAAGGAAGGAAGGAAGGAAGGAAGGAAGGAAGGAAGGACGGACAGACGGGGTATAGGCTGTAGGAAACCAGCAGTGTCTACTGCCCCTGACCACATACAACCCCAGTTTGATCAATGTGATGAATGGTACTAAGTGACTATTGATCATCAAGAATCTAACCTTAACCTTGTGTCTTTCCTCCCAGGGAGTGAGCCATTACTGGAGGTTGCTCTTTTGCCAATGACTCTCCCAATTCCTCCAGCATCTTAGAAGATAAGATGTGTGAAGGGAACAAGACCACCATGGCCAGCCACCAACTGATACCCCTGGTGGTAGTCCTGAGCACCATCTCCTTGGTCACAGTGGGGCTCAACCTGCTGGTCCTGTGTGCTGTGCGGAGCGAGCGGAAGCTACACACTGTGGGGAACCTGTACATCATTAGCCTCTCAGTGGCAGACCTGATTGTGGGAGCTGTTGTCATGCCAATGAACATCATCTACCTCTTCATGTCCAAGTGGTCTCTGGGCAGGCCTCTCTGCCTCTTTTGGCTTTCCATGGACTACGTGGCCAGCACAGCATCCATTTTCAGTGTCTTCATCTTGTGCATTGATCGCTACCGCTCTGTCCAGCAGCCCCTCAAATACCTGAAGTATCGCACCAAGACCCGAGCATCGGCCACCATCTTGGGAGCCTGGTTTCTCTCCTTCCTCTGGATTATTCCCATTCAGGGCTGGCGTCACTTTATGCCGCACAACCTAAAGCCCCGAGAAGACAAATGTGAGACAGACTTCTACGATGTCACCTGGTTCAAGATCATGACTGCTATCATCAACTTCTACCTGCCTACCTTGCTCATGCTCTGGTTCTATGCCAAAATCTACAAGGCTGTACGGCGGCACTGTCAGCACCGGGAGCTCATGAATGGATCCCTCCCTTCCTTCTCTGAAATTAAGGTGAAGCCAGAGAACCCCAAGATAGGGGCCATGAAACCAGGGAAGAAGTCTCTCTGGGAGGTTCTGAAAAGGAAACAGAAAGTTGCTGGTGGTGAACCTGTCTCGAAGTCACCATCCCAAGATCCAAATGAGATGAAATCCTCAGGTGTCTACAGCCAAGAAGAGGATGAAGAAGTGGACAAACTTCACTGCTTCCCGCTTAATATTGTGCAAACACAGACTGAGGCAGAGGGGAGTGGCAAGGACTACATAGCCATCAACCAGAGCCAGAGCCAGCTTGAGATAGATGAGCAGAGCCTGACCATACATGGGGCCAGTGAGGTGTCAGAGGATCAGACCCTAGGTGATAGCCAGTCCTTCTCTCCAGCAGACTCAGACATCCCCACAGAGTCAGCATCAGGGAAAGGCAAACCGAGAAGTGAGTCTAGCATAGGCCTTGATTATATCAAGTTCACTTGGAAGAGGCTCCGCTCTCATTCAAGGCAGTATATGTCTGGGTTGCAACTGAACCGAGAACGGAAGGCTGCCAAACAATTGGGTTTTATCATGGCGGCCTTCATTCTTTGCTGGAGTCCTTACTTCATCTTCTTCATGGTCATTGCCTTCTGCAAGAGCTGCTGCAACGAACATGTGCACATGTTCACTATCTGGCTGGGCTACATCAACTCCACACTGAACCCCCTCATCTACCCTTTGTGCAATGAGAACTTCAAGAAGACATTCAAGAGAATTCTGCACATTCGCTCCTAAGGGAGGCTATAAGGGGATGCAACAAAGTGACACTTACGATGTCCCTGAAGAAAATGGATGGTGAAGGCCTGTGGGTTGCCAAATACCTGGGCTTTCTGGAGTCAAAAGAATAGTATTAAGGGCTGGGTCATTTGGAAAGTTCTTAGGCACCATTGGAAGAACTGCAGATGGCAGTGGTCAGCAGAGAATGTACTTTGAGTACAAAGCAGAATATTTCCAAGAGAATTCAATCTGGATGAGTACTCCTGCTCCTCAGGAAATGTGGGAGCCTCAGACTCTCATTGTAATTCAAGCTTCCAGACTTGAGTTCATTGGCAGTTGAAAGGACTCGTGGGTAGAGTTGCACTGGAGATTTGAACTCTAGAGCCATCCTGGAATGGATCTATATGACTGTGCACACATGCAGCTAAATGCTGTCCCTTTCCAGGGGTCACCTGGAGAGGCATAACAGGTATTCCACTGTGACTGCCACTCCTCAGAATGCCTCTCTTCTGAGCCTCTTTTACAGCTTTTTCCAGAACTAATGTCTGAACTGCCCTAGAAATTCTGCCTTATTATTTCTCATTCACACGTCTCAGAATTGATAGGAAATTATGCAGCGTTTTCAACCCCAAATTCTTTTTAGCTATTTTTTTAAAGATGATGAAAGCTGCCCACAAAGGAAAGAGAAAAATAAAGTTTTAATGGTTTCACATTTAAAACTTTTTTTTAATGGAATGAGAAAAGAAAGCCGTATTTCTTGGGTGTTATGCCAGGTTTATCTAATTAAATCCCCATCACACCCCACAACAGGAGGGTGGTGTAATGAGCAAAGCAAACTGAGATGCAGCATGGTGAAATAAGCTGCCCAAGATCACATAACTAGTTATGTGAGACAGCTAGAATGAAACCCTGTGGGGTTTCAGCTCATCATAACACATTTTCTCCCCAAAGCAAAAATTTCTCTCTCTCTCTCTCTCTCTCTCTCTCTCTCTCTCTCTCTCTCTCACATACACACACACACACACACACACACACACACACACACACGCACTTCCTGAGAGTGGTAGCAATTCTCAAAAGAATATGTTGTGAGCAGGAACAGCCAACATAGAATATGTCTGTGGCCATTGAAGGTGATACTTTGAAGGGACAGTGTGCTATTTTTGTCCTAAAGTGGTCATATTCTTTTAGAATCACATCTCTCAAGTAAAAACTAGCAAAGGCATGGAAACATACAGTTTTACTTGATGTTTATGTTACAATCTGGTGGTGACTTATATTTTAAAACGATGCTAAACTGTAATATGCGTAGCAAATGGAGTGCCTGTACAAGCTGGCATTTTGTGTCTTGTGTTCCTGTTTGCATGATCTGTTAAAATGAGAGTTTGTGTTTTTTTTTACTTACTTAAAATATGATATTTAAAACTATACTGTTACAAGTTTGACTTATTTAATTCTACTGTTCTGAGTCTCTTAAATGAAGAAGATGTATTGAAAGTACTGTCAAAGGTTACAAGAGCTCATATAGGGGTTCTCTTTGGTTTATGATCACATTTGTAAAAGTCTTTAGAAAAGGACCTGCTTTTCCAAACTAGCTTCACTCTCACTCTGCTTTGCATCCCCATAAGCTCTTCTTGCTCAAAACTGTGGGCGCTAAGGAGATTTTATCCTGGTGTTAGAACCTGCAGCTGGTCTGTTTCCAGGTTAGAAGCTGTTTCTCGGAAGACCTGTGAATGCATCCTTCACTGGGATCCCTCAGAACCAAGGACCACCCAAAGAGACCGCTCTATACAGACAAATGGCTAAATGCTCATTATTTATGTTGATGAACAGTTAAGGCAACTAGTGAAGAGAAATGGTTATGAGCTCTGACTTTGGGTCAAAAGAACCTGGATTTGAGTTGGACAAGAACAAGAAATGATCCGTATAAATTGTCAGAGCATAAAGAACAAGGTCCATGCATTATTGTATACAGTTGTTTTTTTATAATGCTTGCAGTGTGGCTGGTACACAGAGGGTACTCATATGTAGTTTTCAAATATACTGATAATATACTATGTGCTTTGTGCTTTACCACCATTATATAATTTAATGTTCATAGCAGTCTCATGAGGGAGATTTCCATGTTTTCACAAATAGGTAAACGGAAGCACAGAGAGGTTAAGGGACAGCTGTAAGATCTGATTCTGGAATGTGCTTCCTTTCCACAGTACCAACCTTCTATTCCTACTCCTATCTGAATGATTGGATTAATTTTTGAATTAATGAAAGGTCTACATTCATATGAGATAACTCCACCTCAGCACATTCAGCAAAGAATCAGTGCCCGATGGCTTGCACAAACTCCAGTTGAAACCAGGCTTTCTGCCACCCTAAATATTAAAATAAATACCTTCTAGGAGAAGGCTGTTATAGAGACTTTGATAAGAATTTTCTGATTAAGAAGCTCCTTTGGGTTTCTTTTTATGGGCTTAAAGCTGATGAGCTTTAAGCCAATACTTCATATGGCCAATTTGCCAAATTTACCAAAAGCTGGTTTCTTTTTAACTGTTTACAAGGTTTATAACAATGCAATAGTATAGGGCTTTTAAGAACATTTTTCTACAATTGTTGTGAAGGTATAGTAACTGATTCTCATTTTCCTTCATAGCCTTATTGAGGAAGGTTCAGTATGCTTTGTCCCCAGTGCTTTGCTGCTACAGGGACAGACTGAGTTGCAGAGAGGGGAGAAATAGAGGTGAGGAGACTAAGGGTAAGAGAAGGGGGAAGTGGAGGGTAGAAATGAGAGGAAACTAGAGGCGGTGGGGGAGGCAGAGGGTCAGAGAGGACAGACCAAGAGGAAGGGATGAGGGACACCAAGGGACAGAAGAGGAAGAGAGGGGGAGATGGATGTGCAGAAGGACAGAGAAGGGGAGAGATTAAGGAGCAAATGGAAGAGATAAGGGGCAGACAGATGGAGACAGGGGAGACAGAGAAACTGAGGACTGGGAAGGGAGACATAAAAGAAAAAGTGGAGTGGGGTACAGAAGAGAAAAAAACAGGTAGCATGGTATTAATAAACTCAAGAGAAATCTACCTTCAAGAACATAGTCTTTATTAATGTAGTCATAAGTTAAATTTATTTGAAGGAAGAATAAACCATCCGTAGCTTTTGATAAATAGAAAACGCCTTTAAATGCTTCTTTGAGGACACATACAAGTACTTCTTGAACACTTCTTGGGCCAGGCTTTAGGATACAAAGGAGAACAAGGCAGACATGATTTCAACCATACGGAGTTACTATAGGGTTGCAAGTGACAGAAATCAGCTTTGTGAATGGCTACTGAGGTGTTTTGTGGAATCCAGGAATATTTTGGATGACCATGCCTCAGAAAGAGTTTGAGCCAAGTCAGCCACAGGCACCTCAACAGCAGAAGAAGTTCCCTCTAGACTATTGCCATTGACCTATATGGTTTATTCTTATTCCTACTGTCTATGAGCATCAGTACAAAAGTCCAAAGCTCAGGGTAAAGAATTGTCCCATGTCCACCTCAGCTGCAATCAACTCTGAAAGAGAGGTGGGTGGGGGTGGGGAGCAGGTGGCACATGTGGTACCAACATGGCTGGAGGACCAGCACTTCCCAGAGGAGAAGGAAATATGAGTTGGGCAGAAGCTCCAAAAGGTATTAATTACAAGGATCTCAAAGTCCAGCTGGGGAAACAAGCTTATAAAGAACTAACTTCAACCTACCCTCATATATGCTTAATAGAGTGAAGCCTAGAGGTGATGGGTGTCAGGCACATAGGAGTTGACATCCCTACTGTGTTGTTTTTTAATTTATTGCATTAAATATACACAGTAAAATGCACACATTTTAAATGTAGAATTTTGACAAACACATACACTCACATCATCCCCATTTCAATCAAGATAGAAAGAACATTTCTAGAAAATTCTCATGCCCCTTTGCAGACAATGCCTCCCCTTTATGCTCCAGGCAACTACTGATCTGACTTCTATCACTATAGATTAGTTTTGCTGATTCTATAACTTTACCTAAGTGGAATCATATAATATGTTCTCTTTTTCAGTCAACATTTTGTCTAAGATTCACCCACATTTCAACTGGATTTTGAAGTTGGAGAAAGGGTTAGACCATCAGAGGAAGTGTGAGGGTATTGCAGATGGAGAAATAAACTAGCAGAGTGTGCTTCAAACACCAGAATTAATTTAGTGTGACCCAAGCATGCTGGCTGAGGGGCAGTGGCAGGGGAGGAAGCTGGTTAGTGAAAACAGTTGACAATGTTGAATTTTACTTTTACTTGAGTCCCGTGCTCTTAAAAAACAGCAATGGTTAAGAAATCCTCCCCAATCCAACACACACACACACACACACACTCACTCTTTTGTGCTTCTGAAATGATTTACTGCAAAGAAACATCAATTCTCATAATTTATGTAAGACTTATGGATATCTCCTTGTTTATCTGCGGCAAGGACAGGCACAGTCTTGAATTTATATTCTTTGCCTTATAAATAATTAGCTGAACTACTTGTCTTCACTGATCAAACAAAAAAGTGCCTGTTAACCAACTTTAGTTAAGCTCCCAGACTCCTTAATGTTGACTCACTCACAGGCTGAAACTGCATACAACCCCTCCTGAGAACTGGCTGGCCTCAAGGTAAAACAGTCTGATTGACTACTATTAGATCAAACCACCCTTTCTTCCCACTTTTCCACACCCATTTTTTTCTAGTCTTGTTCACTCTTCCCCACTGAAGAAACTTTTTTGCCTAACTCCTGAGACATTTGCAGATCTTTTGGTCAGAGTGATTTCCTATTGCAATATTTCCCTCCCTTGTTGCAATAGTCTCTTCCCTGTCCTCCCTCATTCTGTATAAGAATCCTTTTGGATAAAGTATCTCTTTACTAAGTCAAACAGGCTTCGATTAGAATCCTGGGCCAGAAGTTCTTTAACTTCAGCAAGCCCCTTAACTTTTCCTACCCTCCATTCTTTCCTATGTAAACTGGGAACAATATAACACCTACTTTGTTGGACCTTTGTGGCAATTAGAGATGTGAAAACCTGTAAACATGGTAGATAATCAACAAACAGTAGTCATTACTCTTATTAGTATGAGTTCAAAGAGCTACACCACAGTCACTTTGTGAGTGGCTTGAAATATCAGGTTAGGTTTATACTCACTATTGTATTTTCAACATCTCTGCACCCCTTGACACATAATATACACTCAATAAATAATTTAGATGAATATCCAATTGAAAACGGAGAGCTATGAGAATAATGCCTGGTTTAGAAAGAGCAGGTGGGTCATTATCAAATATCATTGACCTATTAAAATTCCCATTGTCTGTCTCTCCACACCTATCTCCTAATGGTCCCTGGAATACATTTGATGCTGCCTCTACCAGAAAATAGAAATGATAATTCTTGTCATCCTCTGAAAACAACAGAGACAACAGTGGAGCACTTTTTTAAAAGCCTGAGGGGCATATACACATTCCCACATCGGATAAGGTGGCGCCTCTCCAGGTCAGCTCCCACCAGGGGGCCTCGCCACCATCTGATGCTCTGCCTTCCCCAGGACTCAGGGGGCCTCGCCACCATCTGATGCTCCGCCTTCCCCAGGACTCAGGTTCCTCCCACTCAATCCGGTGCTAGGGGCTCCTTTTCCAGACTGGTCCGCCGCTCCTTGTGCGCATGCGCACCAGGAACCGCCAGCAGGCGGGGAGGCGGGGTCACGTTGCGTCATCGGGGCGCGCTCTACGGACGACGCTGCGGGGTTGCCGGAAGTTGAGCGGCGGTAAGTGAGCCGTGCTGGTGAGGGAGTCGCGGGGTCCTTTGGCGTTGGTTTTGGAGGCCCGGCGGGAGGGGGCGAACTCAGCGGCGAAGGCCAAGGTCACGGAGGGTCTCAGATCCTCCATTCCCCACCGCGTCACTGACTCTCGTTCTCGCCCTCCTTCTCCAGTTACTTCCCCTCCGACTCGGGCAGCCCGGGTCTGCTGACCAGGAAGGTCCTCATTTCCCACGTCAGTCCCTTGAGTCCCCCGACGGGAGTGCTCCGAATCCGGGTGTGGGGACCCGGGAGCGGGGCCGCCGGGCTGCTGGTCCCGGCTTTGCCCGGAGGTGCGGTGGGACTGGCAGGCGCGTCCC